AAACAAAACTTCAAGAACACGGCCACACAGCCCGGAAGACTCACACCAGCCATCGTATGCCAGCCGTGAAAGCCTTCGACAATACATTGTCTGGTGATTCATTATTCTATTGTTGGTTATTTTAACTGATTCATTGATACTCAGCCTGGCTTAGGTTCTCAATGTTTTAAGTAAATAACTTTTTAAAGTGAATTAAAATTTGACAGCCACATTTTAGCACAGGAAAAAAAAAGCAGATCAGTAGTTCTCCATCACATATAAAATAAGATTGATCCTTCCCATGAATTTGGAAAAGACCACGCTCTAGTTCAGGAACAGGCAACATTGAGGGGTCAGGTATCTGAATTCAGACTCCCAGTCTGCTGGGGCTCTATGCTATGACATTGTGATATCACTGGAAAGGGCATGGCTGAAAATGATCAGCCTATTTTTTACTTTTGTGAGATTATAGGGGTGATGTGGGAACAAGAGGCCTAGCAAAGGGAATCCATTCCCATTGCCACCCTGAAATCACCCCAAAGCAAAGTCAATGGGCCATAATCCTGCTGCAGAAATCTATTTTGCTACTGAATTTCAACAGCACATTTTCTGGATACTGGGAGCACAAGGGGGATCCTGGAAGGGCATATGTGACCCACAAATTAACTATTCCTATTCTAGTTAATTACAAGGAATAGCTTGTCTTTCCACACTTTGTATTTTTAAGTAAACCCAAAGAGTTTGTTCAGTCAGGAACAGGAAAACTGATAACCCCAGATATGGTGAAGTATGACACCCAGCAGCCCCAGTCATCTTGGGTAATGCTGAGAGATTTTTACAGTTTAGCAACATCTGGACAGCCACATGTTCTCTCTCCTTGTCCATAAATGTATTGGGTGACTATGACGTGCACGTGGCTATTTTGCATCAAGTAGTGTCTTTCCAATTTAATCAGAAGTATTTTCCAATAGAATAAATTCCTGCTCCCATCACCCCTGCCTCCCACTTCAAGACTGGGATAAGTTCCACAGCAGATCTCAGAATAACTGAATTGTAATGGGGAGGAAAGCCAAGCCAAGCCAGGGAAGTGCAAAGACATCAAGCTGAATAGAGTCTATCGTTTGCAGGCTTGGACCTTTCAAGATGCGGCCACCTTGTTTTTCCCACGAAGGTTTCTGGCAATACAGGACGTGGAAGTGGCGCTACCTGCCCGCGACCTGGGAGGTGGCGAGGGGGAACTAAGCAGGTCTACCACCACGTCATTCCCTACTTCAACCTCTTGAAACCTCGGGTCCCCAGAGCTTGCTGGGTAACATCTTCACCGTAGGAAGCCGGTGTAACTAGTGGCTGGGGCAGATGGGAGCTGTAGTTCAGAGTAAGAAACCCAACGCTGGGAAAGACCGGCTAAGTAGAAAGAAAAGGGACCGGACTAGCCGGGGCTCGGGGTTTTAGGGAGCAATTTCTCATGGCATTTCCCACCCTTAACCCTTTTATTTTCCTCACGCGCAGCGCCTCGGCTTTTTTACGGAGTCTCCTCCCGGTTCTGGCGCGACTCGGCCGCCCCCGAGCTTTGGCGCCAACGCCTCCTCCGTTTGTACCCCTTTGGCTCCATCCCCGCATCCATTTACCTCTCTAAACACGCGATCCGGTTGCCCCTCGGTGTAACGACATCAGCCTCTTCTCACGCCCACTCGGTGCTCAGTTCATTGCCGGCATCCCCGGTTCTCGGTCTGGGGAGGAGGAATGGCCGGGCAGAACCATGAACATACCCCGCGCTGCCACAAGGGACGCTGCTGGCGGAGGCTTTCCGAAAAGGCCAAAGAGGAGGCGGCATCCAAGCCTAGACGCAAGCGTCCCCTGCCCGTCTAGGATGAGGCGTCACCGGCGCTGTACTTCCCTATTGGTCTATGTGTGATCTAACAAACGCCCCCTTGCGACAGAAACACCACTCAAGAAAGCTCGCGCTCCCGCAACCCTTCCCTTTATGCTGTTAGGCAGCGGAGGCGGCCCGCCCCCTTGGGTGAGAAAGATAGCGGCGGGGCGGGGTTTCGCTCTCGGGGCTACGCGGCCGTTACGAGGCAAGCGTTACTTTTTCTGAAGAGGGGCTCGAGAGTCTTATGCCGCCTTCCCATCGTTTTGTGTTCCGGCGACTAAGGCCAAAAAGTCAGAAGTAATAAAAGTTTAAATGTTTATAAGCACCGCAAACTGATAGTGGTACAAAAGGGGGAAGCTAGAAACGAAATCGCTTTCTCCCTCTCACTTTTTTAAAATTGTTGCAGTTGTTTATCTTGTTCGTTTTCTTTAGTAGGTACAAGCAATACGTTTTTTCTTTTTCTTTTTTCTTATTTTTTTCTTGTACTGTTCTGTTTAATAAATAGCCTAAAGACAAATTTTAAAAATAGTAGAGAAGGCTAGTATACTAAAATAACAATCAGGAGGGAATCCTTAATGACAATATGTGTATTTATTTCAGTATATTTAGAGGTTATCGGTGTATGAAGAGTTTGGAAATGTTTACAATTATGCTTTCTGGGAAAATAATTATTGCAGAGTCTCTAAAATTTATTGAACACTTTATTTTTGTGATAAAGTACAACAGAAGCAACTGTTTTGCATTATAAATGCTCATTTATTTAACTATCCTCAGTTACGATTTGAAGTCAGATCTATGTTAATCTCCTCCCCACCCCCGGCAAAGCCAGTTTATGCAATTTATCCCTCAGCTTGCTACAGTGGTGCTTAAAGGTTTGTGAACCCATTTGAATTTTCAATATTTCTGCATAAATATGACATAAAACATGATCAGTTCTCCACACAGGTCCTAAAACTAGATAAAGAGAACTCAAGTAAAGATACTTGTTCATTGATTTACTGTATTGAGAAAAATGATCCAAAGCTATATATGTGTGTGGTAAACTAAATGTTTCCAATAACTCTTGATCAGTCCTGCACATTTAGCCCATTCCTCCTTACAGAACAGCTTCAACTCATGGATTTTGGTGGGTTTCCTCTTATGAACTGCCTGCTTCAGGTCATTCCACAACATTTCTATAGGATTAAGGTCAGAACTTTTACTTGGCCATTCCAAAACATTAACTTTTTTCTGCTTTAATCATTCTTCGGTCATACGCCACTTCTCCCCATTGTGGGAAGATGGGCGGGGACAAATTAAATAAATAAAATAAATAAAAATAAATACTACCTGTGTGTTTCTGGTCATTGTCTTGCCGCATGACCTGCTTTCTCTTGAGCTTCAGTTCATAGACAGATACCCTGACATTTTCCTGTAGAATTAACTGGTACGATTCAGAATTAATAGTTCCATCGATGGCAAGCTGTCCTGGTCCAGAGGCGGCAAAGCAGGCCCAAACCATGATACTGCCACCACTATGTTTCACAGATGGGATAAGTTTCTTATGTTGGAATGCAGTGTTTGCCTTTCACCAAATACCCTGTGAGTATTCCACTCACAGCCAATTAGAGTCCAATTATTTGTTGCTTTCATTATAGTATTTCCCATGCTAAATGGAACAAGACTGAACAGTTGTATTATGTTATTTTAAAAATAATACATGCTTTTTTCATCTGCAGAATTCCATAATGGGAGTACTAATATTAAACAAGCATACATCTGGTAGCTTTTGTGCACAGAATATCAGATCTGGCTCCAGAGTTTATCAATTATCATGATCTTATTTTAAATCCAGTACTCCCCTCTTAATGTGGAGAACCATCCTGTTTCCTTAGTGTCATGTAAATCACTGCAGGGAAAACACTCCTGTGGAACTCTTGTGAATTACAGTTAAAATACATGTGAAAGTCCTACTAATCATTTTCTAATGTTTCAGTTCTTTTATGTTCCAAAATATGGTTTTATAATTCCCTGTCTCACCATGCTTGGTGGTTATGATGAAAAATTTGTTTTGAACATGTAACTTCCATAGACATCGAAATTATCCTTGCCATCCCTTATGATGATCTCCTGCTTTGCTTTAAAAGCTATTGGAATAAAACCTTCACTATCTGCAATAAGAACTATCCAGGAAGGACCTAAAGAAGAGGAAAAAATGTCAGAAGATGTGTGCAAAAGTTAGATATACACCATTTGCCTAAATGTTAAGTGTGCACCTGTATATAATCCTTTGTGCTTCTTTTAATAGGTTCTTTCAACAATATTATAAAAATGTATTACGTGGCTGATTTCAGTTTTAAGCCAAAGTGGACAACACAGCAAATTATTTCTTCATTTTTGGTACTTACAAAAAGATCATCTAGCTCTGATATGATATTTATATATTATATAAATATATTGATATACATTTTTCTATGAAGAAAAATGAAGTTACCTCCTGTTGCAGAGATAAAATAGTCATCTAAGTAAAAGGTTATGAATATGTTTTTAATTACTGTGCTATACAGCTAGGTTTTTCTAAGAATAATGGAAGGCTTTCACATTTGAGGGTTATATCTAAAGAATATTGAATATTTATAGTGTATCTCCTTTGTTTTAGTTTCCGGGGGAAAGTAAAATGCTGGAGGGCAAAGTAAACTCACAACCTGAATTTCCTTCTTGATTAGTCAAAAGAAAAAGATAATCATAATTTATTAAATTTATATGCTGCCTGACTCCCAGGATGAAATGAACAGGATAAAAAAAATTAAAATTGCATTGGATATGGTTAAAAAAAGGATTTTTTATAACCTGATGTTGATCATTTGAAAATACATTGCAATTTCACTTATATGCAAAAAGAATGTTGCAGTTTCAAATATTTTTAATTACTTAAATAATGTAAACAAAAGCTTGTTATTTATTTGTTTTGGTAATTTATTCCATTGCCTAGTCATTTATAAGTAATCTTAACAGTATTACAGTGTCACAGAATACTACAGTATTTCCCAATGCCATTCAGATTATATTCTGAATCTAAAACAATAGGTAGATATTTGTAGAGCAGTTTTCCTAACATGGTGCCTTCCAGATACTTTGGCTTGCAACTATTTCATGGAATATGAAAAAATCTTATTTCACGTTCTTTACTGGAATCCCAAAATGTTATTAAGTAACTTCAAATGCACAAGGATGTCAACTAATGGTATTAAGAGTATACAGTGTATTCATTCACAACCTGTAGCCACATCCAGCCTCCCTAATCTTAGAAGTGTTCCCACTCTCTAGGCTTAGTGTTTAACCATTGCTTGGCGAAGTTTGATAACATTCGGTGTTAGGGCCACCTGTGTCCATGTATCGGTGGGGCAATTAAGACACCTATGCATGCATTCCAATTTATTAACTCCATTTGGGTCAGTCTGAAAAGGAGAAAATGTTTTTATCAGCTGTCCAACTGACAAAAAATTATAGGAAGGTTGCCAAATTCTGCACAGTTGTGATTGCTTTAAGAAGATCTTGGGTCTAAGTTTGGTCCCATTACTTATTTCATTTTATTCAACCTTGGCTTTGTTTTTATGTTAATTTCTTATTTTGCTTTATTTAATTATATCATACGTTTTGGTCTTTGGCACTCAATAAATAAATAAATATTCAAAAAATTAAAACGGAATAATTGAAATACTGAATGCTTGAATGGTTACATGGTAAAGTATCGTCAGCCTTTATGAGTAATGCTCACCACATTACTTGAGTGCTTCCAGAGGGACTTAGGAGAGAATTCTGTGCAGATATTCCATTTTCCTCCCTTATCTGATTATTTGTGGTTAAAACAAAGAAGAAAATGGGAGAAGCAGTGGGAAAACCCAAGAATATTACAAATGGATTGCACTGGAGCATCCATAAATGCTCCAGTTTAAAAACAGTGGGTTTTGATTATGATCTCTCAGGAGACCGTTATCTGCTACAGCTGTGCACAGAGGCATCTGCAGGGTTTGGATAAAAAAGCCAAGATGGCAGCTGTGACAGTGGGCTTACAGACAGTTTTGCCTATTTTTTTATGTGTGAGCAAGGAGCAGCAGCTAGTGGCGTTCAACTTCCATGTATGAGAATAATGCACCATTTGTTCTTTTTCTACATTTTCTCTCCTATGATTTTCTTTTCTTTACAACTACAGCTTACAGGATGTTGCAACCACCAGCATTGTGACTATGTTCATGAAAGCACTGTTTGTGCAGCAATAAAGACTACCCATTTTATTTCAGGAGGGTAGACAATGAGCACAGTTATGGCTGGATTGGCAAAGCCATATACAAAAAAATTACAGAAAGTGTTATTGGCAGTATTACATGAAATCCATACATGAACTATGGATTGATGTAAGAGGAAGATAATTCCTTCCCTGATATCTTCCTACTTTCATGATTAAATCAAAGATGAAGAGTAAAACCAGAAGTTTGAAAGATTAGATTGGTGAGTTCCTGTTCTCAGCAGAGATTAAACTAATCCAAAGCACAGTAAGACGTAGTGCCTCTATTACTAAATACATATTGAATATGTGTGAATTGTTAAATAATTTTTATTTTTATTAAGTAAAAGGCAACAGGAAAACAAAATAAAGAAAAAGTGAAAAGGAACAGAACACACATATAATTACATATCAGTATATCTATGTTGTTATTTTTTTTTAACTTAATATTATTGCTGCTACATAAGTTTTACAGTAAGGTGAGGGTTGAAGTGAGAATTCAAAAGGTAAAATTTAATATTGTGCTTTAAAAAATGTAATAAAAAACAAAACACAAAATCAAGTTTGTAAGAAAAAACATTCAAGCAGCCCCCTTTTTGTTCTTTTTTCCTCCTTTCTTTTC